GAGGGAAGAACTAACGGAATATAGGGTAACCACAATGAGTAGCTTGTCATGATCCACACAATCGAAAGCCTTTGCGTAGTCAACAAAGCACAGGTAAACATCCTTCTGGTATTCTCTGCTTTCAGCCAGATCCATCGGACATCAGCAATGATATATCTCGTTCCACAGCCTCTTCTGAATCCAGCTTGAACCTCTGGAAGTTCTCTGTCAATGCATGATTGTAGCTGTTTCTGTATTACCTTTAGCAAAATGTATACATGGGCTACCTAAAATATGGGGGCTAGAAAGGTACGAAGTGACTGGCTTACAAGTTTTGAAGCAGGAGTTTAGTTTCAGATTGTGCGGTGGAAGGTAGATTCCCCACTGAATAATTTTCATCTTCTCTAGACGGGTCTGGTGAAAAGAGGTGGAGATAAGATTCTTATGATTCAATAGTAACTGTTATCATGACTAAATGTGACAGTCACAACTGTAAAGGTAGAAGTTGTGTAACATAAAGCGGGGAGTAGTTAATCTTACAGTCCACAAACAGAGGACCCTAGGACCATCAAGGGAGAGGAGCATGAGCAGAATGTGGGAGAAGCAGAGATACCAGAGATGGAGGCAGAGATGAGGACAAGGAGAGAGAGAGCAGCTGAGAACTCTAGACTCATGGAAAGAGAGGGACTGTGAGCTGGCAGCCAGGAGGCAGGCTTGCAGAATGTGCCCTCGGGCTGTTTAAAATGATTCCTGAGTGTTTTTGTGTATGTCCCTCCCCCAAAAAACAAAGCAAAACCAAAAACAACAGAGGGAATAGAAGCAAATACTGTTGAATGATGATGCACAAAGGAGATTAGAATCATTGCAACGAAATGATGAGTGTAAGATATTATCCCATGTAAAAACTTAAAAATCACTCAATTCACAATAAAAACTTAAAAAAACCCTATGGGTTAGCAAAGGGCTAAGTGAAGGGGATGCTGAGTTAGACCAACAAAGATCGAGCTCTCTCAGGACATAGTAGTTAGTCCCAGAGCAGGAGTCACATTTGGCTACTACAAAGGTTGGTGGTCTGAATCCACTCAAGACCCCAAGAAGGCCAGCCTGGCAGTATGATTCTGAGAGAGCATGGTCTTGAAAACCCTATGGAAAAAAGAACAAGTGTACTAGTTGCCCAGAGGCCGGTGGAACCCCAACTAAATGGCCCTTGGTCACCCTTCAGGTCTGGAAATGAACTTACCCCTTGACTCAGTTTTTAGCCAAACAATAGTTAGGTCTACAGAGGGCGCAACAAACAAGACCAGTGAGGCACACCAGTGGAGGTCAAAGGGGCAGAACTGACCCAAGGGCAAAGTTCAGCAGGATGGGGAAAGATGGAGAAACAGGAACACGAAACACCAGGAGGAAGCGGGATAAGTGGTTTTACAAGGAGGGGACTGTGATGGAGATGAAAGCAAGTGGATGACTTGTTGAATGCAAAACTAAAGATCTGCTCTGTAAACCTTCACTCAATTCTCAATAAAACGTTTAAACCAAACAACCCAGGGAGCAGTTTGTACTCTGCACACATGGGGGCGCCAATGAATCAGAACTGACTTGAAAGCAACCAGTGTGCAGAAAGAATCACAAGTGATGCTCTGTTCAGGTTCCTGTTGATGGAAAACACTGGAAAATGCAAATGAACGCAGAGTGACAGAGAGCAGATTGATTGATGGTTACCTGAAGGGAGGTGAGAGTTACCAAGAGGCAGGAGGAGACTGTGGCAGGACTGAACATGTTGACTATGGTGATAGCTTCTGTGTATAGTTGTTGCTGTTGGTAGGTGTCATCAAGTCGGTACCGACCCATAGCGTCCCTATGCACAACAAAACGAAGCACTGCCCGGTCCTGTGCCAACCTCACAATCTTTGCTACGCTTGAGCCCATCACTGCTGCCACTGTGCCAATCCATCTCATTAGGGGCCTTCCTCTTTTTCGCTACTTTTCCATGTGAATAGATACCTTTTTCTACTTTCCCATGTGTATGGAGCTCTGGTAGCGTAGTGGTTACGAATCGGGCTGTGAACCTTAAGGTCAGCGGTTTGAAACTACCAGCCGCTCCGCGAGAGAAAGATGAGGCTTTCTACTCCCGTAAAGATTTACACCCTCGGAAACCCTGTACAGGGTCGCTATGGTCGGAACCGACTCGATGGCACTTAACAACAACAACATGTGTATGGATACATTTCAAAATATTTCAAAACCTACTGTAAATGTTGTTAAGTAACTATCGAGTAGGTTGCAATTCACAGCAACTCTGTATTTATTAGTAAAAAGCCTCACCTTCCTCCCACAGAGCAGCTGGTGGGCTTGAACTGCCAACCTTGTGGTTAGCAGTCCAGTGCTTATCCTATAGTGCCACACCAGCACTTCTGCACTGTAAATATTTGTGGTGACTTTGTCCATTCATCATGGAAACCTCAGGGATCCCTAGGCTGTAAATCTCTACAAGAGCAGACAGCCTCGTCTTGGGTTTGAACTGCTGACCTTACCGTTAGCAGTCCAATGCCTAACCCACCAGGGTTCCTGACTTGATGACTTTGTTGTTGTTAACATCAGTGAAGGTAAGTAGATGTTCACTGCCAATAGGTGGGCTCCTGATCCCTGGCAAGCCGTGATGGTCTGTGGGTAATTCACAACCCCACTCCCCCAAGCAGACTGACTGTTGGTTTTGAGATTCTGCTCCAATCTGGGGCCCGGCTGTAAGTATAGCCCCAAGTTCCATCCTGGGCACATCTTTGCCTCATCCTACCTGGCACCCCATCGGTCCCCCTGCCCAGGGAACTGATGGCCACTAGTCTTCTTTCAGAATGCTGTCCCTCCCTGCCCCATGATGACCTCGACTCTCCCTGGACACCTCCTTCAGGATGCAGTCTAAGGGGACAGGAGCAGCTGCAGCTCCCGGATCTCTAGTGAGGTGTGTGGATGTGCTGAAGGACACAAGAGAGAAAAGATTGAAGTTGTCAAGGACTTCATTCTTCTTGGTTCAACTATCAACACTCATGGAAGCAGCAGTCAAGAAATCAAATGACGTATTGCATTAGGCAAATCTACTGCACAGGTCCTTTTTAAAGTGTTGAAGAGCAAAGATGTCAGCTTGAGGACTAAGGTGCACCTGACCCAAGCCATGGTATTTTCAATAACCTCATATGCATGTGAAAGCTGGACAGTGAATAAGGAAGATCATAGAATAATTGATGCCTTTGAGTTGTGGTGTTGGAGGAGAATACTGAAAGTGCCATGGGCTGCCAAAAGAACCAATAGATCTGTGTTGGAAGAAGTGTAGCCAGAGTGCTCCTTGGAGGCCAGGATGGCCAAACTTCATCTTTCATACTTTGGATATATTGTCAGGAGGGACCAGTCGCTGGAGAAGGATATCATGTTTGGTAAGGTGGAGGGTCAGAGAAAAAGAGGAAGACCCCCAGCGAGATGGATTCACAAAGTGGCAGTATCATTGGGCTCAAGCGTGGCAATGATAGTAAAGTCGGCCCAGGACCAGGCAGTGTTTTGTTCTGTTGTGCACAGGGTTGCTGAGTTGGTACTGACTCGATGGCACTTAATAACAACAATTCCTAGGGCATCGATGTCTACATGTTCCATTGCATTTTTAACAACTTCTAATTTTCCTAGATTCTTACTTCTTACATTCCATGTTCCGGTTATTAACGGAGTTTTACAGCTGTTTCTCCTCCTTTTGACTTGATGGCACCTACCAACAATACATTCATGTGAAAGTTGGACAATGAATAAGGAAGACCGTAGACCTGATACATTTGAGTTATGGTGTTGGAGAATATTCAAAGTAACATGGACTGCCCAAAGAAGAAGCCAATCTGTTGAAAGACGTGCAGCCAGAATGCTCCTTGGAGGCCAGGATGGCCAGATTTCATCTCTCAGATATTAGACACATTGTCAGGAGGGACAGTGCCTGGAGAAGGAAGTTACGCTTGGTCAAGTGGAGGGTCGGAGAAGGGGAGAGAGACCCCAATGAGATGGACCGACTGTGGCAGCGACAATGGGCTGAAACACACCAGTGATTGTGAGGGTGGCACATGCCACGCAGCACCTTGTTCTGTTGTGCACAGGGGCACTGAGTCAGCGCCGACTCAACGGCACCTCATAACAACAGACATGTCACCAAGTCAGCTGTCAAGGGTGTCCCAGAGCCAAGGTTGACCAGCAAAGCTGGAGGTGGTACCTGGTATC